AAATCTAGCATTACATCACTTGCTCACCAATGGATCCTCTGCAGTAAATGGCTGCCGTCAGAATCAGAGTCCAAACTGCTGATAAAAACATTACAATAATCCATAAGAAATCCACACGACTCCAGTCCATCCATTAACATCTTGTCAAGCAAAGTGCTGTGTTTGTAAGAAACAAATCCACCATTAAGATGTTTTTAATTGAAACTGCTACTTCCAGTTAAAATTTGAGTCCTCTATTCCAGTATTTCCCAACAAGACTCTTCTCCGCTCTTCAAACACACAAAAAACATAGCCTTTATAGACAGTGTTTCTGGAATAAAGAAAACACTGTACTTATTCAAACATCAGTTCTTTATTTACCCTTGCATTGTAAATAAGCAGAAATCTATCTCTAGACTGTGCGTGGTACATAATAATGAAAGGAGGCGGGGTGGAGTTATGAGGTCTGGGGACCTGATTATAGCACTCAAAACCTGGAAAAGTCCGATTTTCATATGTCATATTTAAAGGATTCGAAAAATTGTTGAGTAAATAGCAGGCTTAATAGGTAAGATATAATGATTATAACTTACCTTCAAATGCAGGCAAAAGCAAAATGTACCTTCACTGATTGCATTGCTTAGTCTTGTCTTTTTCTTCAATCAGTCTATCTTTTGACGGATGTATCCAACTGCCAGCTTAAACAGCCGCGGGACTTCTGCTGCCTCAGTACAGAATCTAAACAGGTGTTCTTTACAGTCTATTCTGTGATTAGCTTTATTCAAAAGTACCTTGCCTGAATCACACATTCATTTTGATCTGACCTCTTTTCTTTAGGATGATATGTGGGTGCTGGCCATGCAGTCTGTATTTGAGGAGACACTGCCACGTCCCAGTGTGGATACTATTCGAGGTGAGATTCTACCCAGCGCTTGGATACTTCAACCCAGCCAGCGTAACGGTCGAGAGTTAGTCACTGTCATCTACTTGTTACAAGTAAGATAGCTTGCCCTTGTATTCTTTCCTTCATCGTGTATCAGTTTACTAAATTAGCATTTGCTAATTCCTCATTGTTTCCTGTGTGTCCCTCTATAGGTAGATTTGGGAAGCCCATCCTTGGCTCCTAGACTGCTGAATACAGTTTCTAGGAAGCAAGCAGCAGTCATAGCAGACCTCGATTCTTTCTTCTCTTTATGACCAATCAGGTTACACATGTAGCAACAAGCACTTACACTAAACCCCTGAAGGTTTTTGCTAAGATTTGCACCTCATGTTTTTGCTCTTTACTTGATTCTTTTTCACATAGCACTGATGGTATGATTATATTGTGTAACACATTATCTTGCCTTATTTTATGTTGTCTTTATTGTTGTTATTAGATAACTTTGCCCCCATGTGCCAAAGTATTCATTATTGTAAAAAGATTATAAGTAAAATCCCAAAGCTATTTTTTTCATGCATGTATATAGTTACCACTTGATTATCATTTGATATAGACTAAACTATACATAGCTCTGTTATTTGTAAGGAAGGATATTCATGTAAAAACAATCAACTGCATTACAGTATTCTTTTAATGCATAGCATTGTCTTAAGCTACTATCAGAAATAACTAGTAAGTAAAACTTGAACTTGACATCAGCTGTAGAGACTTTTTAAACTTTACTCTGTAATATGCAGTACAGTGCCTTTCATAAATATGTCCAGTTCCTTTCTTTTTTTTAAAGGGTTGTTTGCTGGTATTATAGTTTTTCAGTCATTTTCATTTTTGTTTGTGCAAATTTTTGTGCAGTTTCTGTGTAACTGCTTACACAATTTATGACAAGTTCTATATTGGCTGAAATGGGATAGATTGTCATAAAACTGTTATTGACTGCAGTGCTATTGTTGATATTGATATTTTCAGTATCAATATTTAAAATGTTATTTTCTTTTAAAGCCATTACATTTTAACATAGTGATCAAGAGGGCCTTTGCTCAAGCACTGTAGAATGATACAAGACCAGTGGTTTTATTTGTAACTTAGCTGATCTGTAAAACCTTGTTCCCCCTGAAACAAAAAGTATACTATATAAATGAAGGATATTTCTTTTTTTACTTATATCACATTGTTTTAATATACTGTAAATGCCTTCTATAATATGCAATCTATTATCTAAATGTAAAATAATTCATCATTTATGTTTTAAAATGTTCTCTTCATTTTTGCTGTTTTTTATGTTTCTGTGGAAGAGCTTCCAAACTCTTAATGACTTTTAATTTATGAACCAGACCATATTTTTATTAAATACATTTGGCATTTTTCATGTTTCTTGTTTTCAGTCTTTATTTTAGTATTTACAAGTATCTCACTTGGTTTTTTAAGTGCAAGGCCATGACCACGTGGGGGACCAAATTAATTTGTAAGGGAAAGTGTCTAGCATACATGTTTAAATTACTTGATGTAAATAACATATGAACTGTAATATAATATGTTTTGTATATAAAATATTAAGTATATATATATATATATATATACTTAATATTTTATATACAAAACATATTACAGTTCATATGTTATTTACATAATGTATATACACACACATACACACACACACACACACACACACACACACGAGATGCAGAAATGTGAGATGAGAGAACAAATGTGAAGTATATGATCAAAATTGGAATTATATTTGTACAAAAACATTTAATATTTTTGTACTGAGGTTCTATAAAACATTTAAGACACGTTACTCGGTGTGATTCTAAACGACATTATTATGTACCGCCGTTACCATGACGATCATCTGAGCCAGAGCGCGTTCTACATCAACAGAGTTTGCAGCTCCGAGGTGACTGACCGTAATTCTCCAACCGACAATAGGCTATTTGTAAAAGACTATTTTTACTTTACGTAAATGTATACTTTATTATTTTTTTATTATTAGTTTATAGTTTGTTTATCTGTAATTCTGTATATTCAGTATTTTTTAAATTTGGGAATCCCATTAACAAGTGGATTTAAAGACTGGCCTCAACAGGATATTTGCTGGTATGAAATCACTAAACTACATTTATAAGTGTAAGTAAGTTAAGTTGTTCAGATCTGTCTGGATTTTTAATCTTAAATACTTGACCGTGAACAGTAGCGTGAATAACTTGGTTACTTGAACGAAGCAGTAAGCCCAAAAGATGATGATTTCTCAGGCCATTAGTGGTGCGATGCTGACCTCTGGTGGTGATCTGATGTAACTGTTAAACATAAATTAGATCCAAACAACAAGCCCAAAAAATGGTAAACAGGTGCGGTGAGTGATCAGGTAAGTATAATTTTAGCATTCCAATAAACAGAAATATGTATTAATTGTGGTGTCTGTTTGATTGTTACTACAGGACTGAAGGCCTAATCACATCAGAGTTGTTGGCTGTCGGGGACTTGGGTTTGATTCTGGCCTGAGTCTTTTCCTGAACACAATCCCCCTCATTCCCCCATTTACCTGTCTGTCGCTACTGTCCTATCCCAACAAATAAGGCCAAAAAAAAAAGAAAGAAAAAAGGTAAACAGGTGAGGTGAGTGATCGGGTAAGTATAATTTTAGCATTCAAATTAATCTAAACATGTAATAATTGTGGTGTCTCTTTATTCTTTATTACAGGACTGATGGCCTAATCACATCAGAGCTGTTGGCTGTCTGAGCTGAGAGTCATTTCCTGATCCCATTCCCCCTTTCCCCCACTGTCCTGTCTGTCTCTACTGTCATATTCAAAAAATAAGGCCAATAACACTGAATAAGGCAAAAAAAAGGTAAACAGGTGCCTATAATGTATTTGTAGTCATTACGTAATGTGTTAACACTATAAGAGAATACAGTTGTTCGTAGTATTGTTAATTCCCAAGTAGATGCAGTATGATGACAAACTTTGATGTTGGCTTTTACAAAGCTAGATGTTTAAATGTTTTGTTGTCAGGTAGACAGAAAGAAAGTCAGATGAAAACAAAAATAAAAATGAAATTTCAACCAGGCCATATTAGACCGCTTCAGACCCCATGTGACCTCATTACACTTAAAAGGAACCATCAGTTTAGTAAATTATATTTCTGACATAATTCAGATAAGGTTTTAACATGTCCAGAAAATGTTTTAAAAGACTGCTAGCATGTTTCTAACACATTTTAGCATCTTGCTAGCATTTTTTAACACGTTGCTAGTATGTCCTAAGCAAGGCTTTGCATGGTTTCCTGAAAGCCTTTTAAGTAAATTCAAGAAAAAGATTATTAAAACTTGAACAAGGTAAAACATGTGGCTTTAACTTGTGTAGTTGTGATTTATTAAAATGACACATTCCTTTATTGAAATAAAAATATTATTTGCAAATATATATATATTTTTTATATTTTTCTTTTTCTTTACTCATTTAAATCCCTTTAAACTCTTTATTTCTTTAATTCCTTACTTGAAATAAAAAGGATCAGTACATCTGTGACAACATCACCAACCCAGGGTTATTTTGCATTGGAAAGTGTACATATAAAACTATAAATGATAGATTATATAACAAATATAGCTAGATTAAAGCAATACAGTAACTTGTAGCAAAATAATTGTAATAAATGTTATCAAATAAAGTAAAAAAAAACAAAAACTAACACTTGCTTCTCTAATCTTTTTGTATTCAATCTATTTGTTTTCTTTTTATTTATTATACAATTAACAAAAGCAAAAAAGGCCTCTTAACACTAGCTTGCTCTATTCTTTTTCTGTTTTCTTTTTATTATATGATTTAAAACAAAACCTTGCTATGTGTACTGCATTAAGCTAACTGAGACTTGTTAGAGCACGTGCATATTTAACGTGTAAAATAACAACGTGTCTTTCCGTACTGGCACAACTCCCTATCGATTAGTAGCGAATTGTAAATCATTGTTGTTGTTTTTTTTTATGCAGGGCTTGTGATATTAGAGGCGGGCAGTGGAAGGGTGGGGAACGCCATTTAAAGTCAGTGACTCTTGACAGGAATGCGCCTCCTCTCCTCTCCGCTCCGCTGGTCTGCTTTATTTTTAACACTTTGGGTGGGTCAAACAGCGGCTGAGGAGAATGAGCGACCCTGCGCACTCCCTGCCCCTGCTGCAGCTCTCCCCCACCGTGACCTAGACCTCAGCGCCTCTCATGGGATTATTATTGCCCTTCAAATAACGGACTTTATTCTAAAGACATCGACAAAGAAGTGTGTCATTCTCCAGGACTGTTTTTCAGTTGTATAGGTAAGTTTACTGTTACATTTGAAACAAACAGAGGGCCTGTCTTCAGTTTGGGGTTCCCAATGTCATTTGATATTATATGTATCAGAACAATTTGTTTCTGGTTTTGTTTTAATCACATTATATATATATATATATCTCTCTCTCTCTCTCTGAATAGAATGGTTAATATCGCAGTGACACGTTTAATTAGCCTATTGTTCTTTTCGTAAAAGTATTGCACTCTTATGAGAAGTGCAGCAACCTGTTGAGCACTGAACACTGTGTGATCAGTACAGATAAAAAGCCGCTGGAGGAAACATACTGGATACAAACCAATGCAAATAAGAACTGTTAATTTTCCTACATACAGTAATGATCTGCTTTTCACTATGAGAACTTGAGAAATATGAGTTAAACTCTCTTAATTTGATAACTATCATCTCTCATCTTTCTTCTATATGATCATTAATTTGACTCTGCGAGCAACTGGTGGACCACATTGGACCAGAAACAATCCAGCTGGTTATATGTTTAAGGCAGTCAATCTGGATTTTGGAACATAGACCAGTTTGGGCATCTAGAAACTAGCCACCATGTTCCAACAGCTACAGCTATCAGCTGGACTTTCCAACAGAGGATCAAAACACATTCGGCTGGTCTCTGTTTCTCATTGAATAAACAGAAGAAAGCTATTTCACAGCATTAGTAAAAGAAAAACAGCTGTCACTAAGCCTTTGAAATAATACAATTCTGTGAGCTGTTTCAAGCTCACCTTATAGGGAGAACCGCTGTGGTGTGAGCACCATTACTTACTGCCCAGAACTTCATAATATGACCATAAAGTTCATTCCAGGAATAGTTTGCGTTATTCTGTCTGTTAATTGTATGCTCTGCTTGCCTGAACTGAACTTACTGCATCGTTAACAGAACAGTTTATTCAAGCATTAAAATTATGTCAGCCTTTTTTTGTTTTCATTGCACGGAAAGGAGCAGCGTGAACATTCCTTGAAACATCTATTTTTGTGTTTTACAGAAGAAAGAAAGTCACGTGGGTTTGGTAGACATGAGTGTGAATAACTAATGACAGAATTTCAGTTTCAGGGTAAACGTATTTCTTCAAGGTGGTGTTTATACCCACAATTTACTTTAAACACAGAATAATACTCTAGTGCCATAGTGCCAGGCTCCAGCTGTTCCTACAGTAACGTGGCACACACAGTGCGTCATGATTCATACCACACCTAAGTGTGGCCTCTCCTCTCACACATGTGAGAAATAACCCGCTGTGTCAGCTTCCTGGACAGTTGATAGCTGCCCTCTCAGCTTCGGTTGCAGAATTTGAGAGTAAACACACTGACATTATCACGGCTGTGATAGATATTATTAGCTAGAGATACAGCTCTTAAAAACAGTTACAGTTTTTATTTTAGTTTACATTTAGCAGACGCTTTACATTTTTGCTCCTGCATTCAGGCTATACATTTTTTACCAGTATGTGTTCCCTGGGAATTGAACCCATGACCTTTTGCGCTGCTAACGCAATGCTCTACCACTGAGCCAGAGGAACACTACTGTGCTACTGTTATTACTGTGAACAATACAGTTACTACCAAATAGGCTATAATGTAATTTTAATATCCTAGAAATGTTCAGATTTAATAATCTAGCATTTGTAGATTTATAAACATTTAAATAGTTCACACAAAAATGTAAAAAATAAAGTATGCCCAACTGCAAATGAGATTTTGATTTTCAGAAAGTATGATTTTCAGGGAACAAAAAAGTCTGCGAGTCTGTTACTCACAAAGCTATCATATGGCTTGAGAAAACAAATCATAAGGACTTATTAAGGACTACTTGTCATTTTGGGAGTTTGACAGCTTGGTTACTGTATATTTACATTGTATGGAAAAGAGCAGCATCAATATTCTTCAAACTTTCTTCTTTTGTGTTCTATAGAAGAAAGAACGTCACACAGGTTTGGAATGACATTATGATTTTCTTTTTTAGGTGAATAATTTTTTCAAAGCAGTCCCTACTGTACCTCTTTTTCGGTTGAGATAGCACATACTTCGTCATAAACTGTATGTGTGCACGTGAGCATATTACAGAGACAGAGACACCATAAGCAGAGAGAGCAGCAAAGTTGTGCCTCTTGTGATAACAGGTTTCCCGCTTGTGGGTGGAGAATAGTTCTTTGATAACACCCCCTCTGCGCTGGCCTGATACAGAGAGAGAGAGAGAAAAAAAAAGAGTGAAAACCACCATCACCACTCTTTCTGACATCTGTTAGATTCTCCCCTTCCTTCAGTTCTTGAGCCAGATGTTGATTGTGTCATTCATTTTCATTTTGTATATTGCACAGCTGACGCCTGGCATTGTTACAGTACACTAACCCTGATGACCCACTACAAATAGTAGGTGAAATTCATTTGGTCCAGTGCTTTTCAATGGCCTAAATATTTGGAGCCAACTAGAGCAGAAGCTTTGGATTATCTCAAGAAGTTCACTGCTAATGTTTAGCAAGGATTTCCCCCCCTAATTATCTGACTGAGACAAAACACGCAAGCAAATATCTGATCACGTAGCGCGTGACGAAGTAGGAAAATTTGTGAAGGGTGCTCTTCACATTCTTTAACCCAGAGGGGTTGCCCAGCCCCCCCCCCCATTTAGGGTGATAAGACTACACATGAGCAACATGCCTCACAAAGATAGAACTATCTTAGCGGCTAACCTTCACCCGCCATTCCACAGTAGCACACGCAAATACACACCCTCGTTAAGAGTGACGGTTAGAGGACATGTGCTGAAAATGGCGGCCTTTGGAATCTTGAGGGTGTAGAGAAACATTCTATAAGGAAAACAGGTATACATTTATTAATTGTATTAATTATTTATTTATTACTTATAGACAGGAACAAGCAGAGGGGCAGGTAATGATAGGAGGATGGGCAACTGCAAGAGTCAGTTTTTGGCATAAGTACCACTACAAATTTGCACATGTCCTCTGTAGTGTCTTAAATTATCATCTACTTTCATAAATTATTCTACTAGTCATGCTTCAGACATATAACCATTTTTTCATTACAAGTTATATTATCAATATAAATGTGAGTGAAAAAATTAATTTTAATTTAATTCATTTAATTAAATTGAATAATTTCTCATGAGCTCGTCTCTCTTTTTTCCCTTTTTATTTGCAGCAGCTCTTGAGCTGAAATGAACAATACCCGATGATCATGTTATCCAGCACAATTTAAAAATGTTCCAAAGAGCATATTGTGCTTCGATGTAAGCACGAATGCAGATTCTTTATTATTTGTAAAACTTATTTATTCTATTTTTCAATTATAGTTACTGTGTGTTCCCCACTGTTCAGTGGTGGCCAAAATTATTAGAACACTAGTAGTTTCACCAGCCAAAAAATGGTTTTAAGTCAGTTATTTCCATCTTTTGCTGTAGTGTCAGTAGGAAATATCAGTTTACATTTCCAAACATTCATTTTGCCATTAATTGTAATAATCCAGTGAGATTTTTGTTTGCACAAAGACCTACCTGCAAAGCTACCTGAAAAACTATGCACAAGTGCATCTAGGGCAAAAGCTGCTTTAAACGCAAAGGATGGTCACACCAAATGTTGATTTAATTTAGTAAATAGAAGTTGATTGATAAAGCAAATCTATTTATGACATTATTCTTGGCAGCATCCTCATTTTACAGCATTTTTTACACAAGTGCCTAAAACTTTTAACAGTACTGTAGCTTTGCAGGTAGGTTGCTTGACGCATCTTGGAGACATTGCCACAGTTCTTCTGGATTTAGTCTGTCTCAGTTTGTTCTGTTTCTTCATGTCATTCCAGACAGACTGGATGATGAAGAGACCAGATCTCTGTGTGGAGCACTGGCTGTTATCAGACTCTTCGTGCAAACAAAAATCTCACTGGATTATTACAATTAATGGCAAAATGAATGTTTGGAAATTTACACTGATATTTCCTACTGACAGACTACAGCAAAAACTAGAATAACTGACTTAAATCATTTTTTAGCTGGTGAAAATACTAGTGTTCTAATAATTTTGGCCACCACTGTATATAAATAGGCTTATATAATCATGGTATGTGGGACACATAAAGGGGTTGTTCACACAGATCACATTTTTGCGTTCTTGTACTTCAATGTTTTTCTATTTAAACATGCGCTAGATGATTATGTTGGACTATTGCAGTTGCGTCTTTTCCAGTTTCTTGCACATGACAAAGTGTTTTAAAAACAGACTTCTCAAGTTGCCTCAGGTTGCCTTTTTTTCCCCCACTGCCCATGTTTTGTATTTTTTGTGTGAACAGTCCCTTAGGTACAAGTATCTAAATACAGTGTGGTGCAAACCGAAATTTCAAAATGTATAATGGTCACTTCAGTGCAAAATCTGAAAAAGATAAATGTGCGCTTAAACTCCTCCTCCATCTCATTCACCTTTCAGGTCAACCATCTCTGGCATTCCACTGTCTTGTCTTCGTGTGGCACGCTGAGGTGTTTGGTCCCTCTCATTTCTCTTCATCTCGATGGCAACTATGACCTCCACCACAGACTTTGACAATGCTGAAATCGCTCAGCAGTACAGCCGCATCAACACCCGCTTCGAACTGTCTGACGAAGAGCTCGACAACGACAACAGCTCGGCCAGACTGTTTGAGCGCTCGCGCATTAAAGCGCTTGCAGGTGAGTCGTCTCAAGTGACATAAAACTGAGCACATGTTGCTTTGGCTTGGATATACAGAGTCCACAAATGTGCAAATACATATACAGACGTACAGGCAGCTGAACCCTATCCTCTCTTGCCCCTCTTGACCAGCCAGGATCGTTTGCACATACCCAGCATGCCTCGGTATGACTGAGCTGGACAGCTGCCCTGCCTGTCTGTGCCCAATGCTTAAATCTCCGGGATGGTTGCAGGAGCTTGTAATTTTTGGCACACCTGTGGGGTCTGCTGCTCTCAGAGACAGCAAGTTTTAAATAGCAATTTCATGACCAGATTTACAAGACCCTTTCCAGGGACTGGGTAATCCACATAGGACAGTTATGAAAACTGTTTGATTTTTTAACAATTTTTTCAGAAGAAAACGTGAGTGGTGCTTCACGATGCTGTGTGGTTGCTCGGGTTTTCTGAGTGGTTTCTGAGGCATTGTTAGGAGGTTGCTTATTGGCCCAAGTCAAAGCCTCATGGAAAGACCTCTTTTACTGCATTAACAGAGTACCAAGCGGCAACGTCTCCCTCTCTTTCGTGAAGCCAACAAGGAAGTAACTTAAACTGTAATTCATCAACTGGCCGCTAGAGGCTGGCTGCAAAAGGGAGTCAATCCCATAGACTCCCCATGTTAAAATGCCCAACTTTACAGCAGAAAAAAACATGTTTACAGCCTGGTTCAAAAAATGATTTTGGTCTATATAGCTAATTTTGCGCTTCATGACAACTGTGAGGGGGGTGAATTTTTTTATAACTCATCCGTTTAAATTATATTAAGCCATAAAATTCTGCATAATTAAGGGCGTGGCCACTTGAGTGACAGGTGGATTGCCGCTGCTGTCACCACCGTCGAGCTAGGTGGGCGTGGCTTCACCAACCTGCTCCCACCTCTTTGCCCATTTTCGATTATCCGGGGGTGACGCGCGGTGACGCGCTGCCAGGATGGCGACGGCCGCCTCCGCCCACTTTTGAGATTCAAAAACGCTCTTCGGAAATCTACAGGTGACGTCACGGACACTACGTCCATGTTTTTATACAGTCTATGCAGAGTACTGAATTCTTGCATCCAATTTGGGACATTTCTCCTTTCGCAAATTTTATCATTAATATCTACTGTAACAGAATATTGCTTTATAGCTGTGCATATCTACACTAAATACTTCTAGAGATATGAGATTTTGATGGTCATTTTACATAAAGGAGCAAGTACAGTATGTACTTTTCCCCACAACCATTACAAAAGGCAGGACAAGCAGTTTGGAGAATAGGTGGATGGATGGATGGATTAAAAAACAAGGCATGAATCAATATACAAGTGTGAACTGAATGTAAAGTTTTCTGACAATTAAAGAGATACAGTAGTTCACCCAAAAATGACATTTTGTTGTTAATTTACTCAACCTCAGGCCATCCAAGATTTCTCTTCAGTAGAACAGTAAAGAAGATTTATTGCTGAAACCATGGTCCTTGGTGAATCGTCAACTTGTAAATCTGTGCTACTCAAGCCTTGAACTGTTTCAGGCAGTTCAGTCCAATTTGGTAAACTGGTTCAAATAGTTCACCAAAAAGAACCGGTTCAAATTAATGATTTGTTCGCAAACCATACATCTCTCTTGACCATTTGCCTAAGGCTATGGATTACAGGTAAAAATGTTGTAAATAATGTTCAGTTTCTTTCACAGAACAATTGTTTCACTTCATAAGACCTCAATATATTGTCATGAGCCACAGGTGTTCATTTTGTTGTTGCCTGATATAGGCTACTTTTTTTGATTCTCAAAAGAACAGTAGCCTTTGACTTGCATTTTAAGAATCATTATATGATTGCATGATAATTGCAATTAAATGAAAATGTACTATAGTTTAAATTGATATTAAATGCAGCTAGCTGAACTTTAAGGTGTTTTTTCTCCACTTATGTAGGATTGAAGTACATCTTTATATTTTCATAATTACTTTGAAATATGGTTATATTATCTTTGGTTAAAGTGTACTGGTGAACAGTTATGGTAAACTAAAATATACTGTAATGTTATATAAATTAAAACTTGTATGTTGTGCATTTAGTTTTGTGAGAATATGTTATGTTTTTATTATTTAAGGCTAGGGGTCTTTCTGTTTTGAAATGCATTAGCGATGGTGTACTCAAACTCGGCCTGCTTCTTTAAGCCAAGTGTATGTTGCTGAGCCAGGGGGAGTGTGATGTGTTCTGTCGGTGCGTCTGTGCTCTGCTCATTCTGTAATGCAATTAGAGAGAGTTAAAAAGTGAGGGAGGGTGAGCGAGCGAGAGGGAAGTGGTTCCCATTCTTCACCGTTGATTTACGGCTTCTGAACAGACATGCATCCCTCTGAGTATACTAAATACACTTTGAGTACACAGTCATTAATACATTTGTAGTTTGTATTTGCATCAGGGCCCAAACCACTTATGCACGCACTTACAGTCTGACATCATATTGTATTTGTAACAAATCAAAACACACACAAGCACGTGTACAGCCATTTGATGACATTTTAGATGAGTGTGTGTGTTGTGGGGTGAACAGGAACGGGGGCATATTATATGCATGGCTGGGGTGCTGGAGAACCACTCCATGTGCTGCCGGGGAGAGGCACAACAGCATCACTGCTAAGTGAGGAGTGAGTGAGGGCGGGAAGGAGAAAGAGAGGGAGGGAGGGAGGGTGTCTTGCTCTTTCCCAGCCTTGCGTGTTGATTTAGCGTGGTGAGGATGAGCAGCCCCTGTTTGTGTCGCGCGGTACCCGTGAGCCAGACCCGGCTGAGGGAGGTCAAACTCAGCTTGAAGACCAGCAGAGACACCATGGCGATCCGCCCTACCCCAGTCGTGCGAGAAGTCAGCAGCCGGCAATATACCACGGTAAAAGAAGTCCCGACCCGGACCAATGCACCAGGCAGTCGGAGCAGAAGCACCCCACCGGTTTACAGGGCCCAGAGCAGAGGGGGCAAAACTAAAAGTCTCCACATTCGCGAACCCGAGCAACTGCCGGAGAGGAACGGAACTTTACTGGGCATCGCACCTAAAGTAGCGCCCATGACTCTTACTTCAGTCTCCTCAACCTCATCATCCTCTTCCATCTGCACCCCGAGGGGCCATCGGCCTTCGCCTCCACGATCTTCACCATCTTGCCCCCTTTCCCCATCCCGGAGTATGAGACGAGCACGCTGGCTGAGCTACAGCGCTTCTAACATCTGCTTCAACAACTCCATCCTGGATGGGCGGTTCAGACAACTGCAAGGTAGTGTCCTGCTGGAGTTTTTTTTCCCTCCCATCCTCAAAGGGGGGGGGCAGTCTTTCCTGGCATACCCCTCCACCCCGCCACAGGGGAGTTATTAGGTAGAGATCCAGAATGGGAAGGGCGTTAAGGTGGTGTGCTTGATTGTTTTCTGCGGGGTGCTGTGGGAACTGGTTTGTCTTTTTATGTGCAGTATTTATTAATTTCATTATTTATGTTGTATATACGCCCTAATTGCTCACTGCGTTACCTCTAAATATTTAATGGCAAACTCATAAAAAGGCCATTCAGTGGAAAAATACTTCTTGCCTCCCACCACATCAATCTTTTTCTTGCTGAATTACCAAGTGATTGATACACCGGCAGACAATCTACTTTTTGTCTTCAGCTATTCTTACCTCTTACAGAAAAATTTCCTTTTCTCTGATTTGGGGTATTCAGCATCGAGGTCTCCTACCTCACTTATTCTCTACTGGCAGCTCTGTTTATTTTTAGAGAGAAGTTGACTGTCACTGTTAATTTGCATAAAACGGAGCTTCCTCTTTCCCTCTGATGAGAGTGTTCTTTTAATGCTGTGGAACAGAAAGAGCGTAGTTCATAGTTATTTTTTCTATAACTATCACAAATGTTTACATGTATAGTATGAATACATAGAAGGGATTAAACCTTGTTAGTGTAAAGACAAATTGACATGGACTAGTTTGCATACTACTTTTTCTGTATACTACTTACTGCTCTAGTTAATAGTGTTTGGCATGCATCACTAATACTCATGCTCATACTTAGTGGTATGGGTTTTATGGAAACCCGTTTTAGAATAAACAAAACACTAAATAATTGTGGGTAAAGGTTGCAATAAGAAATATAGTAACACTGTGAGATATGAAGTCACACTATAAGATCTAAAGTTGCAATTGTGAAATATAGTCATAGTTGGTGACTATAAAGTTGCAATCATGAGAAATATAGTTGCAAGTACCTAAGACATGAGTTCTATCTAAAACTGAGCAGTTTTGTTCTGAAAGACTGTAAAATGGGTGAAAAATCATACATACTTATATTGAAGGAGGGACTCAAGCCATATCTAAGAACAAGAACGTCATAAAGATCATCCAAACTAGGGCTGTCAAAAAATAAATAAATAATCGAATTACGAATATTCGTCGAATTTCAAATAAAAATCCACATTCGAATGCAAAAACATTGCATTCAAATTTTAGGTGTGCATTAAGGAGGCAGCCTTATCAGTGGCGCATGAGATGCGATGACGATGTAAGTGTCATTGCATTATAATGTTTTTGTTAGCCTATCCAGTTAAAGCCACTAGATGGGGCGCTGCTGTGTTGTTCATTCAAAATATTGCAGAAAAAGAGAACATCAATGAGGAGAAGATCTTGTTTACATAAAAACTGAAACCAAGCCGTTTACACAGAATGCATATTTTGCGCATTTTCTAGAGGGACATCTTTCACCGTTGCACTCGCATCTCGCACAAAAGAGCCGCATGTTTAGAAAGCCATGTAAAATTATTGCAAGTTTAACTTTTTGTTTATAGTTGTTTAAGCAACTTAATTAATTATAATTGGTCTATAAACATTATTTTAAACATTATGCACTTTTTTCCCCACAGATAGTCATGTTATCTTATGCTTTGAATAAACGTGCATTAGTAATATTTTGCTCGATGTGCCCTCTTGTGGCCTCAGGAGAGAAGCCAAAAGCT